GCGGCCGTGGGGACCACACCCTTTGGGGACCCCTCATCTAAACAAGCCCCTTTAATCAAGTCTCATCCTAAGCACCACCTACCTCCTCCAGAATGCTTCCTGTCCTTCCGGGCGGGGTTAGCCGCTCTTCGGGGCTCCCATGGGCCTCTGGCATGACAGTGTCCTGTCACTGATGGACTCCCAGTGTCCAGACACAGTTGGAGCATCTGGCACAGAGAAGGCAGCCGGGAACCGCGGAAGGGAGAGAGGGGAGAGGCGTGGGAATCCGTGCTGAGTGCTGTGGGGGTCCCGCACCCTCTGGGGCTCTACGTGCTCAGCCACAGATAATCCTGCATCTTCCCCACCCTTGAATTCTCTCTGTGCCTCTGAGGGGTAACGATTATTTTCACCATTCATAGAACATGATCCCAGGTTGCAGGACTTGTCCATGGTGTCACACAGCAAGCAAAAGACAGGAATCAAAGTGGAGTCAGCCCGAGATTTTCTACAATGTCAGCATTCATGGTCAGGCACGTGTCTCCCCCAAAATGCATGTTCTCAGAACCTCAGGGACCTTATTGGGGAGCAGGGTCATTGCAGATGGAGTGAGTTAAGACGCAGTCATGCTGGAGTAGAGTGGGCGCCTAATCCAGTATGGCTGGCGTCCCGAACAGAGTCACAGACACACAGAGAAGGAGGCCATGCGATGTCACAGGCAGGAGCTGGAGTTATGCAGGTGCCAGCCGCGAAGCTCCAAGGACGGCCGGCCACGGCCGGAGCAGGGAGGGAGGAGCGGGTAGGGAGGCTGGTTAGCATGCTTGCCTGAAGAAAGGTTCACTAATGGCCGCTCCGGGGTCCGGGCTCACCAGCAGCTATGTGCCCGGGGCAGGGCGAGGCCCCTGCCGTCACAGCTTCATGGTATGTGACCCCTGACATTCAGCTTGTCCCTGAGGAACTCGATTTCTCAACCCTCACCTCCTCCCTCACCAAATATTTGAGATGTTATCAAGGATAAAACCAGTTTGATCCTGGAGCCGTGTACAGTGAGTAGAGGGGTCAGCGAGCCAGGGCTGGTTCACTCATGTCCCTGCCTGTGCCTCAGTTTCCCCTTCTGCAAAGCGTGGAGGTCGCACAGATGGCGAGGCCCCTCTTCCTTCTCTTTTCCGCTCCCGGCCGGGGCCTCCACTGCTCCCGGGTGGGCAGGTGGCTGCAGGACCCTGGAACCAGGCATGGCCGGGAGGACTCCTTCCCGCGCAGCCTCCTCGCTGGCCTCCCTGCCTCCGGCCTCCTCCTCCTCCTCCGAGTCTTAGGCCAGCTGCCGAGTGGGCCTCAAAAGGGCAGTTCAACACAGCTGAAGACCAGACCGCTGATCCTAAGCTGGCTGCACAGAGGGGTCACCTGGGGAGCTCTGGGCCAGCCCAGCCGACGAAGTCAGCAGCAGATGGGGCCCGGGCAGCTGGCATTTAAAGCCACCCAGTAGTTCTGCCGTGCGGCCGCGGCTATAAGGCCCAGGCCCGTGGTATCAGGTCCCACGAGGCCACCTGCAGGGCCTTGCCTGGGCTCTGCCCTCCCCTCTCCAGCCCAACCCAACTTCCCATCCCCACAAAGTGTCCGTTCTCCATGCCTCTGTGCCTTGGCTGTACCCCATCCCAAAGCGCTGCCTCCTCCGGGCCCCGCTCCCCCTGCAGTCTCCATCCTTGGCCCTCTGCTTCTCCCCTCTGCTTCTCCCCTCCCTCGGCCACCTCTCTGGCCCGGGACCCCCTGAGGTCAGGATCTGAGTCTCCGCATCCTGCACTGCCCCTCTCGTCCCCAGCCCAGTGCAGGGACCTGGTGACCTATGAACTTGCTGCACCAACGTGGTCTGGGCCTGCGCTGGCCAGGCTCTGTGCCACGCATGAGGGGCCTGTGGTCGTGTTTGCTGAGCACAGATGTCCCTCTCAGATGCCTCGTCTGACCTGGATTCCGGAAGTTAGAGAGCTGTTCCCACCAGGCCTCGCCTCGCCCACCCCACCACACACGGCTTCTCCCGGAACCACCCCGCCCCGCCCTGCCCCAGGCCCGGACCCACAGGACACACTTCCTGCCCGTCCATCCCGGGGGCAGTGGCAGAGGCAGGGCACGTCCTGGGCTCCTGGGTGGTGCGCACGCCCCTTTGTGCTCGGTGGTTCTTTGCCCTAACGTGGTGGGAACCGGTTATTCCGGTTCCAGTGTCAGAGCTGGACATGGGAGGGGCCCAGTGCCCAGCTGTCTGGGTCAGCTAGCAGGCAGTGGGTGACGGGAGCAGGACCTCGGGGGAGCCTAAGGCCCTACTAAGGCATGTGGCCTTGTCGAGGGCAAGGTCTCTGATCTCTCCGTCCTGCCTGGCCACATAGCACCAACTCCTAGTTACGAGGGAGCGTGAGCAGGGCCAGGGCATCCGTGCTGAGCGCAGAAGCACTTGCCGTGCCCGCCCAGGACGTCCATGCCGGAGCCAGCAGGAGACACCCTATGACCACAAAACCGGCTTGGAGTGGTCCTGTTTTGTTTGACAAGACACTGAGTTGTTTTCCAGAGACAACAGACCAGGACTGTGGCTCATGCAGCCAAAGCGAGCACAGAAGAGAACTTTGGCCTCCAGCTGCGCTTGAAACCAAAGTTCCGGAGCCTAAGGACTGGGATGTGACTGGAACTCAAACACCTGAACCCTTCCCGAAGCTGAGGGTCCATTGTCCAGGAAGATATGGTGCTGATGCCCCTTTACCATAAATGGCCAAATTCCAAGGCTTCTCCAGCTAAAACTTGCCCCTCCAGCGCTTCCTCACACCTGTCCCCCCACGCCCCAGCCCCTTAAGGCCCCTTGGCCTGGTCCAGCCAGCAAGATGGATTTGAGGCAACACTAAGGTTCCCATCTTCTCGGTTGAAAATAAAACCTTCCTTACCCCAAACCCTGTCGTTCTGTGTTTCGGCCTTCCGAACCGTCAGGCGTGTGGTCCAGTATCAGTCCCCTCCCAGCTCCCGGGGGCCTGGGCCCATGAAGGTGACAGCCCCCCAGATCCTGCAGCTTCCTAGTCTGCTGTTGGGCTGTTGCTCCTGTTACCCCAGGACCCCACAGAATCTGTAAAGGAGACCCCGGCACCAGCGACTCCTGGGGGTTGGGAAAAAAAAAACCCCAACCTGTCAGGGAGGAAAGAGGCTTTTTTGCACGAAGCAATTCACAGTCTCCTTTTGGGAAGAAACGCTTTCTAGCGAATGCAATTTCTGTTAAATTTTTAATGGAGTTGAGACCTGGTCTGGAAGTTAGTTGTCTGCCCACGTGGAGACTGCCGGCTGAGGCCGGTACCCGGGCGTCGTCCCCCATCTGTGTTCGCTGGGACAGTGATGACCCAACCACTTCTTTTTTAAATCCTGACAAAGATCTCTAACAAGGGAGGGCTCTGAGTGGGCCTGCATGACTTTTGCAACAAGTCCGAAAACAAAAGTTTGGAAAAAACACACATTCATAACTAACTTTTCTGATAAAAGCATCCTCTTTTTTAGCAAACACGTGGGAATGGAGGTTGTGAGCGCGCCTCGCCGTGGATCAGACCCACGCGGCCCCTGCCCTGTGCCCGGCCTGCAGCGGGCTCCACAAAGCCCTCTCTTCGCAGCGCCTTCCCGGGGCACATGTCAGCCCCGCCCCCAGCCCAGCCAGGCCCAGGCGAGGCAGCTGCCACTGCTGAGGCAGCCTCAGCCCCCCACCCCGACATCTTCGGTCCCTCCACCCAGCCAGCCGGTCTGGGAGCCGTCCTCTGGGTCTGATGGACTTTCTCCCTGACCAAACTTTAGCCTGATCCCTCTGAGCCCTCACCCTGCAGCCGGCCCTGTCTCCAGCCCCCCTGGCCCGGCCCGCAAGAATCACCAAGTCACTCCGCACCTGGGTATCTGACTGACCTCCTTGTCCCCTGCCTCCCCCCTCCCCCGCTCCCAGGTACAAGTCCTTGGTCTGCCTCGAGCAAGAATCCTCCCTCCTAGTGATTTTCAGTCACCGACCCCCTCACTCTGCTCCTTGGCTGCAAACGCCTAGTGTCTCGCTCCTGTTCGGGTTGAGCCTGGCCTTCCTACCCTATTTCGATAGTCACGAATGACTCCTACTGCAATAGTCTCGAGTAGTCTTCCTCCTGTTTAACAAGTGTCGGGAGTCATTTTTCTTCTGACGGGGCCTCTGACACTGAGGTCTCAGCGTGACCCTTTCCTGGAAGTGCAGCCCTGTCTCTGAGTAATGGAGGAGACAGCAGAGAATTAAAGTGTCAGCCGAGCCACAATCAGAGACGCAGTGCGCTACCCAGCCCTGCGGCCAGGCCGGGAGGAGTCTGCAGAGCGAAGGGAGGCCTCTGCGGGCATCGCTGACAGCCCATGCCGCACACCTGTGCAGGGGAACCAGGGACCACGAGCCAGTCACTCCCCGTGGCCAAAACCGTGCGGAACCTGTGGACTAACGGCCGGAGCGGCCAGCGGGCCTTTCGCTCTCCGTGTCCTACGGACTCCTCGCCTCCCTCGCTGTGTGTCCATGTCAAAGGAAATCGGAACTAAAGAGTGACAGACTGGACTCCCCCAACACCCCCGGCCCCTCTCAGCGTCCCTCTCCCTCTGCCTGAGAGGAGACCGCGCTCTGAGTGTGACCCCTTTTCTAATAAACTCTCCTGACTGTGGCGGGCGTGTTGACTTCTCTCCACACTCTCTGTCTGGATCTTGGGTGAGCTCCCCCTCCTGCTGTGCTGACAAGGTCAGCCTGGTGGGTCCTCGAATCTCATCCATGGACGGAAGTGCCGCACGGGAGGGAGCGGAGCTAGCCCTTCGCTCTTCCCAAAGGGTCCGCAGCGGGGCCCCACAGAGCCTTCCTTGCATGAAACCTGGAAGGTGACATGTCTGAGAGAGAATCAGCTGCTGTCAGTCGAGCTGATCCTGTTAAGTGCCCGGCTGGTGCTAAGCTGCTGGGATGTAGCTGATTTTTCTCTCCCCACCACTTGACCCCACTGCGCCCCCTTCCCCTCTGCTTCCCTTCCCCCCTCCCCCCATCAAGTCGGTGCCCTTCCCTAGTGACAAACTCTTCCCCCAGCTGTGCCCACCACTGGGGGAGGAGAGAGGCAGTGAGGGGCCGGGGTTCAAACTTGACCTAGACCCTGCACTCTGGTGCTCCAGACACAGGCCCAGACGAGCCTTCACCAGGTCTAACCCCTGTAACGGCTGTGGTCCGGGGAGCAGGCCCAGGCGTGTGAGCTGTGACTCACAGGGTGTCTTGAGAAGCGGATGACAATTGCCTAACTGTCCTCGTTCCAACATTCATTCACTCAGACATTTTCTCCGTCCACCCACTGAGAGCCAGGCCCATCTGATATCCACCAGACAGGGGTCAGAGGACAGGTCCACCCATTCATTACTCACTCGGCAAACTCACCAGGCACTCGCTTACCCCAGAAGCCTCACTTGTCCCCCAGGGTGGAGGACACCATTGTAATTCAGTGACAACCCAGAGACACAGGGAAGCACAGTGAAATGTGGGCCCCCCATGGTGGCCTGTCCACCTGCCTGGAGGAAGTTTCCAAACAACAGAACCAGGAAGCGTTTCATCCAGACTGAGCAATGCAGAACAGGGAGGGGCAGGGTTTGCTAAACAATCCACCCTATTGTCCCACCCTCTGTGTCGATTTGAGGCTGGGCCCTATAAAGTGCCCAGAGGCCGCACAGAAGGCCATTTCCTCAGCCAGCCAGCCAGCCAGCCAGCCGCGGTGAGCAACGGTCGGGACCCAGCATCATGTCGGAGCTGGAGATCGCCATGGGCATGATCATCGACGTCTTTGCCCGGTACTCGGGTGACGAGGGCAATAAGCAGACCCTGACCAAGGGGGAGCTGAAGGTGCTCATGGAGAAGGAGCTTCCAGGCTTCCTGCAGGTGGTGTGCAGGGTCCTGGGTGACAGGGTGGGGGATCCACCTGGGGGCAGGCCGGCTTGGTCAGGGAACACAGAGGGCCAGGCCGCACTGGGGAGGGGCCGGGAGGGGTGGCTTGGAAGGCAGAGGGACAGAAGATCTAGACGCACCTGCTCTAAAGGAGAAGGGAAGGGGGCAGGTGGAGAAGCAGTAAGGGGAGGCCAGCCCCGGAGGCTGAGGGATGGATCTGCTGCCCCAGGGCCTGGGGCTCTGGAACCTCTGAGCAGGGAGGGGACGCGGCCAGGTCAGTCCTTGAAACTGAGTTGGAGCCCCGGTGGGTTCTTTCTCTACAGGGACCTGGTGGCAGGGAGTGAGGTGGGAACCTGAGTGGCGGGGGGGGGGGGTGGGGGGGGGGGCACTGGGACCAGATCCAAAGCCATCTCTAAAGTCAGAACTATCCCTCTCCAAGGCTGCTAGCCGCAAACACCCTTGCCCCACGGGCTGCTTGCTCACCTTCCTCCCCCCATGACCAGGCACCCAGTGAGACTGACAGGAATGGGGACCGGAGGAGGTCCGGTCTTGGCCCCTGTCTGCCCAGAGCCATTGGGCCTGAAGCCTCCCTAGCCGGCCTCCCCACGGCGCTAAACAGAGGGCCCACCGTCTTCTGCCTCCTGCTCTTCCTCTTCCCCTCCCCCATCTCCTGCGCGTCTTCCCTCCCCCGCATCCCCTTCCCCCTTCCCTCCTTCCCCCCTGCGCCCACCAGACTCCACCTACCTGCCCTCTAAGGGTCTTTGCTGATACTGATTCTTGAAAATGGAACCCTGAAGTTTTCAGCCTTAAGTATCACTTCAAGACACAGAGCATTTCGGTATTTTATAGTACATTATGTTCCTCTTTCTCTGGATGTGAATGCAGTGAAGATATATATTTTTTAATTCATTGTTTTTCTCAGTTATAAACGTTTGTGGTAGAAAATGTAAAAATATAGAACTGTGGAGAGAAGAAACCCACCCCACACACACACACACACACACACGGACCCTCCCTGTCCTTCCTTTCAGCCTTTACCCATGCGAGAGTAGATGTGAGTTTCTAATTTATATGCGGTTTACTTCGGAACTTAGTATTACAGCAACATTCTCCAGCTTCGATGCTCGCTGACCACGCCGCCCCAGGCCGGCAGTCTCCTGGGAGCACGCTTTGAGAACCAGCGGCTCAGCCAGGGATTCTCAAACTTGGGTTCCGTGGAATCACAGGGGGGGAACCCGGCAAAGGCAGGGGGCGCGGGCCCTTCCACAAGCCGGGCCTCGGGCCGAAGCCCCGGGAAGTGGGAGAAGCCCCGCGCTCAGCAGCGCCCACCGCGGCCCTTTCCTCCACGCCCAGCCCCGCGGAGCTTCATAAATGCTGGGTGTCCTCCGGCGTTTGCACACTTCGTGCACCTCCCTCTTGAGGGCTGCAGGGTCCCGCCTGAGGCCACAGCGCTACCTGATTACCATACAATTTGCCGCCTCCGGGGCTGGGTCGTCAGCGCCCCCTGCTGCTGCTTTTCGGATCTGCGCTGTGGCGGTCCTTGTTCTTGTCCGGGGCGCGCTCTCGCTCTGTCACGTGAGCAGACTCGGAGACCCCCGCCCTGCCTCTCAAAGATGACCTGGGCCTTGGGTCCATGCCCGGTGCCCAAGCAGAGGGGGAGAGCAGGGACTCTCCCTCCCAGCCTGGTCTCAACCCCAGGCTCCCCCTCCTCCCCCGTGACTCCGGCAGGTCCCTTCGCGCCCCTGGGCCATACTTCTCCATCCGTGACGCAGGGTGACGCACCTCCCTTGCCTGGTAGTTGTGAGGACTAGAGGTTGATGTAAAGCGGCTAGGTCAGTGCCCACACAGGATGGGCGTGAAGTAAACGGAACGCGAAGCGTTTTAATGAGGCAACGCCCACAAAGCCAAGGTGCCCGAGGTCAGCGAAGGGCGAGTGCGTTTCCTGGTACTCTGCGCATCATAGAGTCCAAAGACAATCCCTTCCAAGACATCAAAGTAAAATTAAACCTCCCGCCTGCATAGCACAGATTAGGGCAGCTCCCGACCTCTTAGAGACCCGGTCTTTCCAGGTGCGGGTTTGCTGCACACAGCTGGCTCTGGCACCGAGCCCACGTGTCGGCAGAGGCAGCACAAACTGAGTGTTCCCTCCCTCCGCCCTGCAGCGGCGCTTGGCCGAGGCCGAGGCCCCACTCTGGCACCCTCATCACTGACCCTGGCTGGCCCTCTGTCTCCCGTAGAGTGGAAAGGAAAAGGACGCTGTGGGCAAGCTGCTCAAGGACCTGGACGCCAATGGAGACTCCGAGGTGGACTTCAGCGAGTTCATAGTGCTGGTGGCTGCGCTCACGACTGCCGGTCACAAGTACTTTCAGCAGGCAGGACACAGCTGATTCCCTGGAGACGCAGATTCCTGAGGGGACACCGAGAGCAGGCCCCCGATGTCTGGAAAGCCCAGGTGGCAATTCTTTCTCTGGGCTGAGCGAGCTGATGGCCCTCTGATTAATAAAGTGCTTGTGAAAGGACCATGGTCTTAGAAACTGATTACTTCCTTAAAGCCTCGGTACCACACATACACCTTTCCCCATCACCCCCACCCAAGAACTCACTAATAAGTCACCTCATGCTCATCGCCTGCCCAGTGGAGAGATGCAGATAGAATGACACAGGTCACTGGGTAAGAATCCATTCGTGGGCCTGATAGCCCGGGGCACAGTCCCTGCTTACGTTCATTCGTCCGCACAAAGTGAGTGCCACCCTGTCCTGGACCCGAGGGAGGATCGTGGGATATGCGTCCATTCATTCGGTCACGTAGCCACTCGTCAAAACCTGGGCCCTCCGTCTTCCATCTCTCTAAACGTTTTATACAGGCAACATGTTTTTAGTGGCACAATACCATTTTCTTTTCTTTTTCTGCCACAAAGACCATAAAACACAGTAACAGACTTAAAGAAGAAATAGGTTATAACTGAAGATTAGAATCGCCACCAGTGAACGACTGGGCATGTCACCAATGTTCACGGCTTTATGAAACCGCTTTAGAAAGCAAGCAGTGATCGTGGGAGGGCCCAGGTATTAGGTCATTCCTGGCGTAGAGACGCTTATCATTTTGAATAGTCCTTGGCTAAGTGAGGATGCTGCATTTTAACCTTCTTCAGGTCGGGTGCCCATGGGTGCTGGGACCACCATGGCCTGACTAACTCCTGGCTGAGCACAGCAAGCCATGTGCCCTGTCTGCTAGGCCTGCCCTAAACTCAGGGCTAAATTCAGGCCAAGTCACCCAATGCTCTTCCCGTGTGCCAGGAGGGGCGGCTCTCTGGCACAGCTTCCTGTCCTGTAACACTCCCCACCCAGAAACAGCTCTAGCTCCAACCTCAGACCTCGAACCTGCCCCCGGCCGGCAGGGACTGGGTGGGTGACTGTCATCAGCCCGTGCCCGCCCTCTGCCCACAGGCTCCTTGCCTGTCAGGAGGACCGAGCCCACTCCCCCCGGGGGCCTGTCAAGGCAAGCCACCCCTCTCTCCACATAGCACAGGCTTCCATCAATGCTGTTTCCAGGGCCACTTCTCCTGTCAAAAGCCTGCCCCTCTGAAGCACCTGTTGCCCCGTGACGACACCCTCTCTTCATCCCCATCTCTTGTCCTCCCCTCGCCAATCATCTTTCACCCCGGACTTCGGACCCTCCCTCCTTCCTCTCTCCCCTAATCCTGCCATACTCCTGGGTGCTCGTGGGGTAACCTATTCCACGCCGGGGCGTCCCACACCCCCGGCTTTTCGTCACCAATGAGCTGCACTCCTCACCTTGGCCACTGGTGGGTCCTGACATTTTGAAGACGGCAGGCCATTATTTTGCAGCATTGCCTTCGATTTGAGTTTGTCTGATGTTTCCTCATGGCTGTGTCTGAGTTACGTATCTCTGGCAAATTATCACAGAAGTGACGTAATGGTCTTCTTGTTGCATCTTATCAGATGGCACATGATTTCATTCTGTCACGTAACGGATCATGACCACTTTGATCACAGGATTAAGACGATATTTGAAGAAATGGCCGGTTCTTGAGCTGGGGCTCAAGGGCTAAAGGAGCATCTTGCTGTGTCTAGAACATCTTGTTGTGACAGAAAGTAAGGACATGTTCAAAGAATGACCCGGATAGTTCAAAAGGACACAGAAACCAGCTTGACTTGGCTCCCACTAGCCAAATCTAAAGCTTCTTCGCTATGGAGTTATTCTTTTCACCTTTGGAACGAATGAGCATTTTGTCGGGAGGTTCTTTGAAACTATGTAAATATTCTGTTCCTCGTCAAGCATTTAATTTATTCGTGTATTCATATTTATGTGAACTCATGGTTTCCCATATTATTCAATGGGTTGTAATTGTTGCTATCATTATTTGTTCTGATGATCAAATTGTCCCTGATTGGTCAGTGAGAGCCCATTCGAGCTGTGTCCTTTTGACATATACCCAACGTTTTTTAAACTTTTCCTTGCTTCCTGTCACAGCAAGATGTCCAGATACATCTTACACTTCCCCTGCCCTGGCTCCAGAATTGCACATTTCTCCCAGCAGCCTTTGCTTCTTTCAGTGGAAAACGAGATTTAGAAGCCAAGATCTGAGAGCTAGGTGTGCTCATTGCTGTTGGGTGTCCCTGCTCCCAGCCCCTCCCGATGGACAGAACTCGGGGATATTCATCAGTATGTGCATATATTTATATAGACACACACATCTATGGTAAATACGTGCATATATATGTGTTTGTGTTCCAAAGCACAAGAAGGCTGTGATGTGCCTCATAGTGAAAACGTGTGTTAGATAAGCTTTGTTGAGGCCTGAGTTACAGTGCTGTTGGCCATGAGTTTAATGTTAATGAATCAACAATACATATTAAATAATGCGTCTTTAAACGGAAACACACAGAAGCCAAAGTTATGTGGCCAGAGGCTGGCGGGAACCTAACCTTGCACTTCTCCTAGGGGCAATCATTCAGTGTCTGCTATTTCAGTGTTTATCATGACTTTAAATAACAAGAATTCACTGTACACACACGCACGCATGCACACGCACGCACGCACACACGCATACACTTTTTAGGAATTGAAATCCCTGGCAAACTGCAGCCCTGGGCTCACCCAAGTCTCCACACTCTCTGTGGCTTGGCCCAGGAAGTGGAGTGTGTGGGGAATCCACACGCCGAGGCTGCGGGGAGGCTGGGCTCAGACAGTCAGACCTTGCCGAAGCAGGTGTGAGAGTTCGTAAAGAAGCGGGAGCAAGGTAGATCAGAAGAACGATGGAACACCCTGAGACTAAACATTTGAGAGAGAGGACCAGGGAGGGAGCTTTCCCAGACTCCCCCACGCAGTGCTCAGCACACTATCTCGTAATTACTCATTCCCGCTTCCGGCCCACCTCCTCCTAATCCATCTCACCTTTCCATTCCTAGTGCCTCAGACAAGATATGAAGCGTATTATAGTCCCACTGACTGAGTGACTGAACAGACTTCACCTGCCTAAAAGCAGGGGCTCTGAGGGTGCCCCTGAAATTGGTTTCTGCTAAGAAGTGAGCACGCTGTCATCTTAACCCCACAGCGCCCTCCATAAACAGTTCTCCCTCACAGTTGGAGGCGTATTGAGAGCCTGGACTGCAACCAGTTCACTCCCCTTTGATGATGAGGACACTCAAGGAAGAATATCCATTTCAAAAGAAACTCATTTATTGTTCTTTTATTAACACACGTGGGGTGTCGGTCATCTAAACAAAAAAATTATTTTTTAAAAAAGGCTTTTTAGGTCTTTGTTTTTCAAAGCAAATGAACACTTATTACACGCTTGATTTTGACCTCAAACCCCTGTCGGGTCCACTGCCCTGATGAACTAGAAGGGACTTTTTGAGCCCCGAGGATGCCTTCTCCTTTCTCCAGCCTCCCAAGGCTCTTTGGAGATTGTCTCCTTGATGTGACACTCTGAAATCCTTGTAGGGTGACAGTACCACAGTAGCGAAGCATACTCCATCATTCCTTCGTCGAATTCTTTCGTGACTTAGGTCAGCTAGATTGTCTAAGTAAAGTCACCCGACGGGTTACACAACGTACACCAGACAGTATGCCACACAACATAGCTCTGCTCCTTCATCTTACAGAGAGATTACAGTGGCCTTGGACAAGTTGGTTAACTTGAACGCATCTCTCTGGGTCTCGATTTCCACCTATACCCGTAGGGTGGCCATTGGACATATCCCTAATGAACCTAATATGATCTCTATGGTCCGTAATAATCATACGACATGGTTCACCCAAGATCTTCCACCCACGTCTTGATGTGATTGTTAATAGCATCTCCTTTCACTCTCAAAAACTTCCTAGTTTGATAAATAGGACTTTATTAATATCGTGAACTTCCGTTCATCAAAGTATACCATTAAGAGACTGAAAAAGGTAAGCCACAAAGAGGGAGGAGATATTTTCAATAGGTATATCTGACAAAGGACTCATATTCAGAGTATTGAGAACTCCTACATATCAATAAGAATAAGACAAAATAACTCAGTTTAAAAATGGACAAAAGGCTTGAGCTGGCACTTCACAAAAGGAAATAGACAAATGGCCAGTAAATAAATAAAAAGGTGCTCAACTTCGTGATTCAACAGGGAAATGCACATGAAAACTACAATGAGATAGCACCGTACCTCCACTGGAATGGCCAAAATGGAAGGCATTGATAACATCAAGTGTCGGGGAAGACTTGGGACATCTGGAACTCTCCTACATTCTTGACAGGTGTCTCAGACTGCTCAGACTGCCACTACAAAATACCACAGGGAGGGTGGCTTATACACCCCGCCCCCCAACTGGATTTGATGGCACCTTGTTCTGGAGGCTAGAAATCCATGATCGAGGTGCCAGCAAATCCAGCTTCTGGTGCAATCTCCCTTCCCGATGTGTGTGTAGATGGCCACATTCTTGCTGCAGTCCTCACGTGACCTCTTCTTTGTGTACAGGCAGGAGTGGGCGGGGAGTGAGTGAGTGAGTGTGAGCTCCAGTGTCTCTTCTTATAAGGACACTAATCCTATCAGATCAGCGTCCTAACTTCATTTAACCTTAATTACTTCCTGACTCCGAAAACGGCCACACTGGTGTTTAAGTTTTCAACATAATTTAGCAGCTTAAAACAACATATAGTTATCATCTCTCATAGTTTCAGATCAGGATATTTAATAACGTTGCAGTCGAGATGTCAGCTGGGGCTGCAGTCACCTCTGGGCTTGAATGGGGCTGGAGGATCCACTTCCAAGATGGCTTACTCATATGGTTGTTGGAAGGAGGAGGATGTTTTTCACTAGCCGTTAGTAAAGGGCCTTGGTTCTTTGCTATGTGGTTTTCTCCATAGGGATATTCACAAGATGGAAGCAGGTTTTCCACAGAGCAAAAGGTTTGAGAAAAAGAGATGACACGCCTCCTCTTATGGCCTAATCTCTAAGTCACACGCCATCACTTCTGCCTTTTTCTATTTATTATGAACGAGTTACTATGTCTAGTACACACTCAGTACCCAAGGGTGTGGACAGCCGGAGGCAGAGATCATCGGGGGTCATCTTGAAGGCTAGCTACCACGGTCGGCTCTCTGGCCACTAATGATTCATGTTCTTCCAACATGCAAACCACACTCACCCCCACCCAAGGTCCCCAAAGGTACATTCTATTGTAGTATCAACCCCAAGTCAGAATTTTGCCATCTAAATTAAGTCAAACATAGATAAGGCTCCATGAGTGTAGTCCCTTAAATCTAGCCCCTAGACTAGTTCTTCTTGATTCATAGAACTTTGAAATTAAAAAGACAAGTTAGTTGCCCACACACATCCAATATACACAATTGGGAGCAGGCATAGGTTAACTGTTAGGTGGGGAATGGGAGGCACAAAGGCAGCACTGGTCCATGGCAATTCTGCAACCCAGTCTCAAGGTCTAGGAATGATTCTCCATGGCTCTTGGTTCCACCCTTTGAGTCATACTTCCTTTTTCATGAAAGGTAGCATCTGTTTGCAGATGAGTACTTTTCTGAGTTTGCTTCATGCTTGTAAAACTTTGGGGGGCGGGGCATCCAAAAGGCCTTTCATTTTTTACCGTCTCTGTCCCTTCTAGTCTAAGCTGCAGTGTTTCTTCTGATATAATTATCTTTAAAACTTTGTAGGTTTCCTATGAATTCCATCGGGATTCACTCCATTAGACAGTGCCCCACCTCCAAACCCCTTTGAGATAAGTCCGGGTCCATCTTGGGCCTCTACTGATAATGCCAAGGGACAAGTGCTAAGCTCCTTTGAGACCCTATTGTTTGTTCGAGAGGGTCTGTGAGGCACATCCTTAATCTGAGCCACCACCTTCGATTTTTCTGAGATTTCGTGTAAATAGGATTTTACATTGTTTTCTTCTGTTTTCTAAGTTCCCTCCATTCACTCTCTCATCACTTCTATGTTACTATAAATAGCAAGAAGAAACGGGACAGGAGGGAACCCTTCCTGGGTCCTGGACGTGTTCTTTATCTCGATCTGTATGGAGGCTACATGGGTGTATGGGCATGTGAAAAAATAATCGATGTGTGCACTTACGATGTATGCACTTTATCATATTCCTGGTATACCTTCATTTTTAAAAAGGCTTGTAATTCTAGGGGCTAGCGCGCAGGAACCGCAGCGCGCGTGCGTGAGCGTGAGCGCGCGGAGGCCACAGGCAGGGGCGTGCGCGTGCGCAAAGGCCGGCCGCAGGTTCGTGCATGCTGTGCGTGCGCGTGCGCGGAGGCCGGAAGCAGGGTCGTGCGTGCTGTGCGTGTGCGTGCGCGAGCGCGGAGGCCGGAAGCGGTCTCGCGGCCCCGGGCGTCGCGGGCCATGGAGGGTCTCCTCCTGGGTGGCGGGCTGTCTCGCGAGGGATCAGCGGAGGAGGCCGAGCCCCAGAGCGCCGCCTGGAGCGGGGACAGCGGTAACGTGTCGCAGAGCCACAGCAGCGCCTCGGGGCCGTGGGAGGACGAGGGCCCGGAGCTGGGCGTGCCGGGCGGCGACCTGCCGCTGCTGCGCCGCGCCGCCGCAAGCTACACCGCCTGCCTGCTGCCCGGGGCTGCGGCGCGGCCCGAGGTCGAGGCCCTGGACGCGAGCCTGGAGGATCTCCTCACCAGGGTGGACGAGTTCGTGGGCATGCTGGACATGCTGCGCGGGGACTCCTCCCACGTCGTCAGCGAGGGCATGCCTCGCATTTACGCGAAGGCCACCGAGATGCGGCAGGTCTACAGCAAGATTGACAGACTCGAGGCCTTCGTGGGGATGATCGGCGCCAGTGTGGCCAGGTTGGAGGAGCAGGTCGCCAGGGCGGAGGCCGAGCTGGGGGCCTTCCCCAGTACATTCAGAAAATTGCTGCACACAATTCACGTGCCCTCCATCTTCAACAAGGCGCCCTCCAGCAGGTCCCAGCAAACCCGCTACGAACCCCCTGTCCTGTTTCGGACCGAGGACCACTTCCCCTGTTGCAGCGAAAGACCTCAGATCTGAGTCGGCCGGACAACACTGCTAGAGGATGCTGCGATCTGAGATTATTTCGAGTGTTAATTAAATCAGTTGACGATCCAGTTAATAGACATGATGTTGGAGTATGGAATTTTAAAGTTTATTATTTGCACATTCTATTTCTCACTGTCTTCATTATTTCACGTAGGGTTTATGATTTTCTATGTCTTCCAATTCTAACCTGAAAGCTGCTTGGTGGGAGCGATCGGGAAGCAAATCGAATGCACATAACTGCGCTGTGGCCGAACTGTTATTTTTATGGAATTTTTTTTTAGAGCTCAGAAACCAGTATTACCTTTTCAAGATTTATATATCCACATACTCTTAAGAAAAACTACTGAATCTTCAAAGCCTTGTTATTCGATCCTAATGGTGATTCAATTTTCTATACCCTACTCTTAGGATGGGTGGTAAATTATTTAACATTGTATTAAACTTTCCACTCAGAAATGATACAACTTCTAAGAAAATGTATTGATTTTTTGCAGTGAATTCTGAGGTTGTATTGAAAGTATGACCTTACAATCTGAATCCATGCGTACCATACATGTCTATATCTGACAGCATTCGGTTTATAATTTAAATATTAATAAACATTTTAAATTTACTGGAAAAGCTTGCCTTCTGAAAAGGACTTTACATATTTCTTTTCTGTTTGTTTGAAAATAAACATTGCTCATACGATTTCAGGAGTGGCATAAAAGTGGCTTGGGGGTACTTCCTTTAGAAGGCTAATGTGAGAAACTAAACTTAGCTACTGTTTCACAGCATTGTATGTTTCTTACCCCTCAAAGTGAACAGTTAAATCTTTTGTGTGGATAACTGATAGAAGGATTTTGTTCTTACAACCTGACAACATGGAATCCGCCCCCCACCTCCCGAAAAACACGGTTTTTTGATTCGTAGCTATAGACAGCATGGAATCTAAGATTCCAACAGGTTTTGAGCTAGATCGTAATCTGTTCTATAAGGCAGTCTTCCTAGACAGTAGACCTCAAGCATGCAGGTTAGGTTGCCTTGTGTCCATCATCAATCTTTGAGGCTGATAGAGTACGTATCACTTCACTGTGTATTAGGAAAAACCTGATAATGTAATCTTGACCTTAGCTTTCATGGACCTTTTATGTCGCATATTTACATTTTTTTTTTCAGGTAGTTCATTGATTACAAATTCAGGAAATCCTGAATTTAGAAGCCGAAAGCTCAGTTAACCTACATTTGATATTTGGCAACTGCTGGGTACTGCTGTAAGTAATTAGTATACCCCTATGACAGTCACTGAATGTGAAAATAGCTTCCTTACATAACATCTGTATTGCTAAAATGGTTTTTAAACTCGCAGTTAATATTAAAGAGTAGGTGGAGATTAGGACAAATTATGAACAGTTAGAAAAATTCAAAAGCTGAGATTTAATATCTGCATAATAGACACTCTAAATTCCAGGAAGCATAAGTGAATGAGTGTGCTATAAAGTAAAACTTTAATTAGGAATATAGAATGTTTAGGTATTTAATTATCTACAAAATAAATTGGGTTGAGAAAATTCAAAATATAGTAAGAAAATGAAATTCAGCTTAGCAGTTTTTAAAGCTAGTCATATGTAATTTTAGGTCCTGATTTAGATGATCACTCACATGATTACTTGTGCAGCTTGTCTCTGAGGGACTTGGGGCCTGAAATTCTCTTAGTGTTTGTGCCATTTCTGAATGGAGGTTAGTGCAGGGCCTTGTTTGGAAGGGAGACTTGAAGCTGGTCTGCGTAGCACAAGACAGATTAGACGAAGGTCATTTGTCTCAAGAATGGAGGTTGGGGGGCCAGGCACACCCAGGTCTCTTTGACACTGCCACCCCCAGACCTTCCACCTCCCCCCTCTCCCACCCCTGACCAACTGGAGGGTTAAGGGGGCCCTTCCACAGTTTCATAGGTCAGCCAGCAAGTTGGGAGGGGGACCTGTAGTGGGAGGCCAACTTGTCATCTTGGGTGGCCCCTACAGACCATCTGCTGCTGGGGTCTGGTGCTCCCCTGCTTTCTAGAAGAATAAACAGGGATGGGGATGGGGGTTAATACACCTTGAGAGGGGCACCCCCACCAATCGCTCAGGAGTCCCTCGTTCTTGGCTCCCATACCTAAGACCACGACAACCACTTAGAGTTTTCAGGGGCCCCTAGGACAGGCTCTCAGTCCAAGGGCAGCCCCGGGGCCGGGAGTTGGTTTATGCACACACATGAAATTGGGGACTAATGAGCTAGTAAGCACCTGGTGGCCTCTTTTCCCCCAAGCCGGAACTTTGAGGAATAGGAGTCTTAGATGGTGTGTCCATCGTAGACATGGATCAGGCAGCCTGCTGTGAACTTGCTAACTCTATGATGGAGGACAGCGGTCAGCAAAGTCGCTAAGGGCCAGACAGTAAATAGGTTTCCTGCCACCCACGACATGTAAACAAACGTGCAGGCTGTATGCGAATGCAACTTACAAACGCAGGTGTTTCTCGAGATGCAAAGGACAGACTGAGAGGAGAAAACTATAATGCCCGGAATTTAAAGTTTTAAACTAGCTTGGCTGCACGGCATGGGAAGGTGGACAGCATTGGTTGCTGAGGATTTTTCCTGCTACGGAGAGGGGATAAGGAGAATGGTGGCCTCAGGATGGCAGACAGGGAGTCCATGTCATCAGCCTCTCTCGGACATGAGACAGAAGTCATGAACTAGTGGAGCCCAGCGCAGACCCTGTCACCCCCACTTTTTCTTTACCAGAAACTTCGCCTCATGGACCCTCTCGGCAGCGTCTTTAAGGACTTTGGCTTAGAATGATCTGCCGTTAATAGAGTTAACCTCCAATTCTCCGTATGAGTGCAGGCGCCACCCAAAACATATCCCAACTGTCCATCCTCCCGCCACCCCACCTCGCCTGGGCCACTTACCAGTCTCTAAAGTGGTTTCCGGCCTCCTCAGCTCCTCTAGGAGCCACTCTCCACATGGCACGCAGCAGCCAGTGGGGCCTTTAAAAACCACAAATCGAATATACTGATCTTCGCCTAAAACCATTAGTTTTTCATTATGTTAGAATAAAATCTAAACTGTTCTCTGGCCTGCCAGGCCCTGCAGGATCTGGCTCCGCCCCCTCACTAACCTTGTCTTGCATCTCTCCCCGCTTGCTCACACCTCTCCAGCCCCACCTTCATCCTGGAAGATGTCCAGTGTTTTTCCTTCATGTGCTTGCCACCATTGTGTCTACATCATTTGATTATTGTCTGCCTCATCCACTTCCGGGGGGTGGGAGGCTTGGGCTCTGTCCGTCCTGCTCGACCTCACCTGTATTCTCAGCAGGTAACACCGCACCTGGCACACTCAGACCCATGTTGAATGAATGACTGTCAAGTCTGGTGCAGTGAATGAATGGCTAGGCAAAAATGAGGTGCCCCATAAAGAGTGGGGGGCAGAAAGGCAAATACAGTAATTCAGTGAAATGTTTGCTGGGAATCAAGCACCATGGGAGGGCTGAGGACATGAAGCTAAATAAGCCACAGTTCTTCTCCCAAGAGCTGGGTAGGCCAGTGGGAGGAGAGAGGGGAAGATGCCAGCTTGGTCCAACCCAGGCTTCCGGGACTGAGATCGTCAGGTCTGTGCAAGCATTCCTGAGGGCTCCCAGGAGGCCCTCTTCTCAGCCATGCCTCGGAGGACATAGAGACCTTGTGGGACTATGTTCTGGAGAGACTTACATGCCAAAAGGTTAAAAATCATGTGCTAAGAAGCATTGTCTAAAGTGACCTAAATCGTCAGTCTCAGTAATGGAGAAGGAAATTCACTTCTTTCAGAATGATTCTTCTTTGCGATCTTCATCCTCAAAGGGGAGGGATCGGTGCGTGGTCCCAGGAGACCGTGGGGCAGGAGGGAGGGAGTAGGGAGGCCCCGGGAGTGCACGAGCGTGCGTGGCTGCAGGAACAGCTCCTTCCCAGCAGGGGGCGCTGGCGGAGCAGGAAAGGCCGCCTGGAAGCCGCTGGTCCAGCCCGGCCTTCGGGAACCGAAACACCAGCATCCGGCTGCCAGTCGCCCTGGGCCCTGGGGATTCAGAGTTACCAGGCCCTGTTCACCCTGAAGGGCTCCCGGCGTGGGGACCACAGCTATTCCCCAAGGCTGCTCTTCTTACATGGTGAAGGGGGCGGATTAGTGATGTCAGAAGTTGAGTAGTTTGGGACTTGAGTTTCAGGCACCAGCACCACCACTCTATAAGGTTGTTTAGGAAGGCACTGAAGTTGGAAATGTAAGTGCTTTTATTTCATTTTATTTTATTATGTTACTGGTTTTTAAAAATTCATTTTTTTTCTTTTGTGGTAAAAGACACATAACATAAATTTACCATCTTAACCATTTTTCCATGTCCGGTTCAGTGCCCCTGAGCGCATCCACAGCATTGTGCAGCCATCCCCACCATCCATCGCTAGAACTCTTCATCTGGCAAAACTGAAACTCTGTCCCCATTACACACCTCCCCGCTACCCCCTCCCAGCCCCTGGCACCCACCCATCTGCTTTTTATCTCTATGAATTTGTCTATGAATTTGGCTCCTCTAGGGACCTCATATGAATACAATCATATGGTATTTGCCTTTTTGCGACTGGCTTATTACACTTAGCTTTATGTTCTCGAGCAGGTGTAGCAGATGTCAGAATTTCCTTCCTCTTCATGGCTGAATAATATTCCATTACGTGGATACCCCGCCTTCGGTTTACCCATTCATCTGCTGTGAATAACACTGCTGTGAACATGGGGGCATAAGTATCTCTTTGAGACCTTGCTTTAATTTTTTGCCATGTATACCCAGAAGTGGAATTACTGAATCACATACTAATTTTGTTTGCGATACTTTGAGGACCTACCAGACTGTTTTGCAGAGTAGCTGCCCCATTTTACATTCCCACCAACAGCGCACAAGGTTCCAAGTCTTCCACATCCTCACCAGGACTTTTTATTTTGTTTTTCTTTTGATAATGGCCATCCCAATGGGTGTGAGGTGAGGAGGAGGCTGAGGTTTTTCAGGGCAGACGATGATGATGACAGAGAAAATGCCCACAGCGATAACAACTGTAGCAGGCACTCCGTTCCTCTGTCTCCTTGTGTCACTATCCGGCACTCCCGCCCACCCTTCCCTCCCCTGAACATCAGGAGGAGGAGCGATTTCTGTGGGTGCTGAGTATGAGCCTCAGGTACCCCTGGTTCCATTTCCAGCCAATGGAATGAATGAATCACAGCCACTGTGATGCCTTTTCTTGCTTGGCTTCGACCTGGTGGGCATGTAGGCCATGGTCCCTGCAGCAGGTGCCATGGTCCCCTCAAAAACCCAGAGTTCCTGGCGGCGAGTGGGAGGACCCAAAAAGAAGCCCTTCGCCCACCAGGACGGGCCCCAAGTCCATCCCAGCACACAGGAAATGAAGTTCAGAGCACAGGACACAACGCATGTTAACCTTTTGGAAGTGCTCGTTACCTGTGCACACAGGTGAGCCTCTGGGGGAGGGGGATGCACAACCTGCCTGACCCACTAGCCAGAGAGGCAGAGGCTGGATGCAAACTCTGACTTTAGGGACACAAAAACCTGGGAGACTCCAAAGAAAACAAAATAGGTGCTCTGGCACCTCATGCTGCAGACAGGCATGAGTCACACCTAAGACGCCCATGGGGGACATGCC